TTTGACGATCGACTTGCAGATTGACAGCTGGGCGCCTGTACGGTGTACGTTCTCAAAAACATTGCCATGGTTAACGAGATAGAATGATACAACGTACCAGACTTTACGACCCTTCCTCAACTTTTTTCGGGCGTTTTTTATCTTTTAAACACATATCGTCATCATCCGACTTCGTGTAGGTTACTAAAAATAAATGTTCACCAATGAATAAATGTCTTATGGTTTAAATCTAAATATAGCCACGAGGAAATTGATTTATCGCGACTGGCGATCAGGACAACGATCAAGTTTATACTTAATGGTCCTAACTTTGTATATCAATTCCTATTTATACCAACGGCGATACAATACACTACGGGCCAGCTGGGCTAAATACTTAAATTAGCTTTGGAAGTTTGGGAACGCAGAGAAAACGTTTACAGCAATACTTTCTCTTCCGATAGTAAATAGCTTAGAAACGGTTTTTAAATAAAAAAACAACCTTCCTTACTTACATACTTACTATATTTGTTTTATAATAGTTTCTCTTTTTATATCAGTTAACAGAAATTAACAATAATTAATTTTAAAAATTAATTATTGTAAGGGGGCTGATATTAGTTAGGGCGTCCGACGTATTGGCCACGCTAGAGATTCTGGGTTCGAATCTCGGTACAGCCCATGAAATTTGAATTGAGATTAAGAAAAAAATATTTTATAGTTATTTGATCCCTTTCTCGGACATCCAACGTGATATACTTAAGTATGTACAAGGGTCAGGAATAATTAATTTACTTTATACACTCGTCGTAATAAAAGTCGAGATACATAGAATAATACGAACAGATTTCAACTCTTACATAACAACGTGTTATTTAATGTAATTTAATTTAATTCTCACATATATTCACTTTACCCTAGATCACTCTAGATATCTCAGAGTAATTAGAAATAAGCCCCTCCATTTACGCTAATAAATTACATTCAGGCATTCATTCACTCTACCCGAGATTTCTCGATATTTCTTGCGGTAAATTGACATAAACCCTCCATTCACGCTAATAAATTGCATTCAGACATGCATTCGCTTTACCGGAGAGTACTCGATATTTCTCTGGGTAATAGAAGATAAACCCATTCATTCACGCAAATAAATTGCATACACACACACACACACCACAAATCATTCACTCTATACCAGAGTACTCGATATTCCTCGAGGTAATTCGAGGAACAGCTCCTCCATTCACACAAATAAATACATTCGTTCCAATAATTAACAGATATCACACAATGTAGGTACAAACCTATATACAAATAAAAATATTCATCACCCTGCGATATTAGCTCAGCGATATGTGCCCGCCAGATACTAAATGAAGAACAAGATGTTTTGGCATTGATTCGTAATCATTTGTGGGAGGCTGGCCTCACATCGTGCGCCAATTTGAGACGACCTGCAACAACAGCTCGCCACCCAGCAACTCAGGTGGATGTGGTGCAGCGAGCGCCTAGAACAGAACACCAATTAAAATTCTGTTATGTTTACTGATGAATTTTATGTCTGTATAGTGACAGCAGGCGCCGAAGAATCCACCGAGAACAGAGGACGCATATCATGTCCCAGTTGGTGGTCCCTTTTGTGTAGTTTGGAGAAGGCGGTGTAATGATCTGGACTTGGATTTACTTTGGAGGACAAACTGGTCTCCATATTGATTAAGGCGACCTCGCCGCAATCTGTTATGTCCAAGGAATTACCGAGGATCAAATCAGGGATCTCATTGGCAGGGATTTTCGATTTCTGTATGACAATTACTGATCTCATAGAGGCAGAGTTGTTCATCGATGTTTAGAAAACCTGGAAATTTCCCATTTGCCACTTCCCTCGTTTTCTCCAAACCTCAATTCCATTGAGCACATATGGTTGCAGAGAAGGGGTTTTGATCACCATCCGCAGCTAGTTGACCTGCAACAACCGAGTGCAACGTTTCAATATGCATGGAGTGAAATTCCTTAGGAAATTAGTGACAACCTTATTTGCCTAACAGGTGCACAGATGTGTTACTGAGGACATTATACACGGTATTAATTTTTTTTTTAATTTGTTCAATAAACAAAATTATAGAATTAAATCATTTTATTACGTGATTTTCAATATCCTTTAATTAAATTTTCCTTCAGTAAAAACATAATAATTTCTAATAAATTTTAATGCAATTGTTAATAAAAATAAAATAAAAATGTAGGGACAGTAAATACTAAAATATTGGCAATATTCCCAATCATTTTTGCGCAGTTTAGTTTGGTCGTTTCCGATCATTCCATCAGACCCCCTCACTCATTCCAACATACCCAACCCAACAATAAATTTCTTCGGCTGCCATCTTCGCAGTTTGCCTTCACATTATTCCAAAACAATGCGAACCTTTAAACAAACTTCTGACTTATTTAGGATTATTTTTGGGGGTTTAATTTTTTTATTGGTAAACTGCATTCATAAATTTTACTAATAATTGCGAATGAAAACGTTGTAATGAATAATCATATTAGGATTATTCATTAAAAAGAATCGATTATAAGTATTTTGTAACTTATATTGAACGTTGGGCTAGGAAAAATAAAATAATTTAATCATCCTAGTAACTATCGACTGAATGTACTGTAATGTTTTAAGGAATCATTCAATCTTGAAAATTTATAAAACGTAAATCAAGATTATTTTCACAGGTCACAAAATTCCAAACAGTTTAGTCCTTTCAAAATTGTTCATTCCTTAACCCTACCGCTTTGAAAATCTCAGCTAAAATTGAACGCGTTTTAATGTTGCATTGAGTTACTGGGACTAATCCTCGGTTCAAATCGTTGAAATAGCCGACTTTCAGTCTATTTTTCAGTAGGAAGTCACCAGCTGGGAAACGGGACAAACAAGTACAGCTCTTAAACGACTTATTTATTTAGTGGCGCCGAAGTTTGCCCTTAGCGGCTAAGGGTGAGAGGAAGCGGAAACCATCGGACCACTGATAAATTTCCTTGACGATAAATTGGTCCCATTTCCTATTACACCCAATACCTTCTTAATTAAAATTTTTTGATAAATTTAATTAATTTTTATTTACGAGAGAGATGAATGAAACTAAGCCTACAGAACGGTATAAAGAGTTTAATTGTTACCGTAAGTCGGATGGCGGATCAAGTTTAATCAATCTTAATCAATTATAGCCCACTGTAGAAATGCTTACTTTCCGTTACACACTTAATTTATTCGTATTAGTACTTTCATTGGGCTAAATAATTACATTAACACGGTTTTTAATCTCAGGTAATAACTATAAAATGCTGATAAAGATAACGATTAATTTTTAATTATAGTTATAAGAATCTACGACATCGTTACAGCGTTGTATGAATAGAAATTCGTACATCAAACATTAAATTTTAAAAAATGAAACATTAACATGAAAGTTAAAAAAATGGATTTGTTGTAAACTACTACTTCTTGAGTTTACAAATTTTGAAAAATATCTAAAAACGAAAACGACTTCTGTGTATTGCCGAAGTGTTGGTATTGCGCGGTTCAAGCTGGACCAACGTTATGACTGTTAATGTATGTATTATTTATGAGCCGACAAAAACTGGTCAACGCCGGACCTGTGCGCTTTAAACGGAAAATTATTATTTTTTGACAAGCATCTTTATCACTGAATCTCTCATATTTTGTCTCCTGTTTTCTTACCTCTCAAAGGTACCTCAGGTTGTCAAATTTATATTAAAAGAATAGATAACATAAACTCATAGCTCATACAAATTGAAAGCCTGAAACCTACGTTCGTCGTCGTGGTCTGAATATTCCGACGACCACGATATTTTGCCACCTCCCATAAACAAGTCGTCACATTCAGTTCTCGGGGCGGAACCTTCTATTCACGCTAATAAATAACTTTCACTCCCCATACAACATACTCTCACCCTAGGTTACTTGATATTCCTCAGGGTAGAGAATAATTTCCTTATTCATGCTAATAATTTACGCTTACACCAACACATACTATATACATTTAAAGAATTGTACAACTCTGAGGTAATTAATTTTATGAATTTTCCGGCTAGAACAAGTAAAATTTTTGGCATAAATCTTTATCAAACATGGTGACAGACTGACTAGGTACTAGGTGCTCCAATGACTACGAGAAAGTCCCAAGTGTTTTTATGATGATCCAATAAAAAAACTCTCAATCCGATGAGAAAAATGTTAAAGCAGGAGTATATTTAGAAAAATAATTTATTCTGTAAGCTTAATATAATAAAGTTAAATATTTTTTAAATGAGTCCGGTTCATATTTGATACACCCTTGTCATTTCCTATCCTTTTTTTGTTCATATTTTAGTACTGACAAATCTCGTACAAATTCAAAAATCCTTTCATACAATAGATTTCAATTTTCATTGTGAAATGGAAGACGACGTTTTTATTTAGTGAATTGAAATTATTGATACTAAACTGCAAAAACCAGATTTAAAGTGATCAACAGACTATTTTTAAATAGCAAGTTTTATTTTCCAAAGTATTGCATATTTAGAAACAAAAGGCTATACATAAATTAATAAAGTACAGAAATAACTGGTGATTTTCTATTTTCGGAAAATAAATCTCTGAATGTTGTTTTATGTCGTACCGCTTTTGTCCAATCGAATAAGACAAATTCTAAGTTTCAATTGCGTTCGGTGGAAATGGAATTTCATTCTTCGAGTTGAAGTGTGCTCGACAGTTTGCTTACAGGCCAAGAAAAACGGAGAAGAGAGTCGGAACCACACCCCGCGTTTCGAAGTGAATAAGAGGGATCGATAGAACAAATCGCCTCGAACCCCTTTGTACGTTGACCTTTGCGTCAGGTGTATCATTCAAACGTCAAAAAAATGTTGGAACCGACAGAACAATTAAATCCGGCCTAATTGACACATGATGGTCTTTTTTTGACTGTTGTTTTCCCATAGGAATAATATTGTTTGGTTTTCTGTTTCAGAAGAGAATACCAGGGCTTCCGTAGTGATCAATGTTTAATGGTTTTCAATGGTAAGTTCCTTTGTGAAATACACAAAATTTAAAATAATTTGACACTTTGAACACAAAGTTTGCAACAATATAGTATTTTTTACAGATTCCTAACCTAATTGAACGGTCTATAACCGGTGAAAAATTGACATCGGAAAGCAACTTAATAAAAAGATCCAACATAATGAAAATTGAATATTAAAAAAATATGGTTCAATTAATTATCCGCGACACTTTTCTTTTTGCACACCCTGAAATTTAACCCACTGGTGGAAAAAAATGTGTACTTAATTTCA